ATGTCCCCCCACATCCTCCCGAGTCCCCTCCTGTCCCCCTCCCTGTCCCCAGGTCCCTCAGTGTCCCCTCCATGTCCCCTGCAGGTCCTTGGGTCCCCCTCAAGGTCCCCCCCGTGTCCCTCAGTGTCCCCTCCGCATCCCCTGGTGTCCCCTTGTGTCCCCACATCCCCTTGTGTCCCCACCATGTCCCCCTCGTGTCCTCAGGTCTCTCAAAGTCCCTTCATGTCCCCCATATGTCCCCACGTCCTCTCACGTGTCCCTCCATGTCACACCAGGTGTCCCCCCCGCATCCTCCTGTGACTCTGTGTCCGTCTGTGTCCCCACGTCACACCGTGTGTCCCCTCACATCGCACCGTGTCCTCCATGTCCCCGTGTCCCCCATGTCATGTCTCGTGTCTCCACACGTCCCCGTGGCACTCTGAATGTCCCCATCTCTCTCCATGTGTCCACTTTGTCACACCACGTGTCCCCCTATGTCCCCATGCCACGCCAAATGTCCCCATCTCTCTCCATGTGTCCCCCATGTCCCTCCGCACGTCCCCTGTGTCACACTGTGTGTCCTCCACATCACACGCTGTGTCACTCCACGTGTCCCCATGTCACACTGCGTGTCCCTCCACGTGTTCCCCACATCACACCACGTGTCCCCTGACATCCCCATGTCCCCCCACGTCCCCTATGTCACTCCATGTGTTGCCCTGCATCACTGTGTCACTCCCAGTGTCCCCCATGTCACCCCCAGTGCCCCCCCATATTCCTATGGCCCTCCATGTGTCCCCATGTCGCTTTGTGTCCCTCTGTGTGTCCTCCATGTCCCTCTGCATCTCCCCATGTCTCTCCATGTGTCCCTTTGTGTGTCCCCCGTGTCCCTCCATGTCTCACGTCACATTGCGTGTCCTTCCATGTGTCCTCCATGTCCCACTGTTTGTCCTTCCGTGTCCCCCATGTCATACCACGTGTCCCTTTGCGTGTCCCTATGTCCTTTTGCATGTCCCCCACATCACACCGTGTCCCTCCATGTTTCCCATGTCCCTCTTCATGTCTCCCATGTCCCACTGTTTGTCCCTGTGTCCCCCATGTCCCTCTGCGTGTCACCCATGTCACACCCTATGTCCCCGTGTCCCTCTGTGTCCCTCCACATGTACTACATCACACTGCGTGTCCCTCCATGTGTCCCCTATGTCCCTCCATGTGTCTCACATCACACTGTGTGTCCCCCATGTCCCACCTTGTGGACCTCTGTGTCCCCATTGTCACACCCTATGTCCGCCATGTTCCTCCACATGTCCTTCCATGCGTCTCCCATGTCACACCGTGTGTCCCTCCATGTCCCCCATGTCCCTCTCCATGTCCCCCATGTCCCACTGTGTGTACCTGTGTGTCCCCAATGTCACACTGCATGTCCTTCTACATGTCCCCGTGTCCCTCTGCATGTCACCCATGTCACATCCTATGTCCCCATATCCCTCTGTGTCCCTCTGCGCGTCCCCCGTCTCACACCACGTGTCCCTCTGCATGTCCCCCATGTCCCTCTGCATGTCACTGTGTTCCCCATGTACACCCATGTCCCCATGTCACACTGCGTATCCCTCCACATGTCCCCATGTCCCTCCATGTCTCCCGTTTCACGCCACGTGTCCCTTCACGTGTCCCCTTGTCCCTCTGTGTGTCCCCTATGTCCCTTTGTATGTACCTGTGTCCCCCATGTCACACCCTATGTCCCCCGTGTCCCTCCATGTGTCCCCATGTCCCACTGTGCATCCCTCTGTGTCACCATGTCATACCGCATGTCCCTCACGTCACACCATGTGTCCCTCTCTGTCCCCCCATGTCCCACTGTGTGTCCCCCATGTCCCACTGTGTGTCCTTCTGCATGTCCCCATGTCCCACTGTGTGTCCCTCCACATGTCCCACATCACACCGTGTGTCCCTCGGCGTGTCCTCCACATCACACCCGCGTGTCCCTTCGTGTCCCCTATGTCCCTCCACATGTCCCACATGTTCCTCTGTGTGTCCCTAAGTGTGTCCCCATGTCCCCATGTCACACCACGTATCCCTCCATGTGTCCCAGTGTTCTTCCACATGTCCCCCATGTCACACTGTGTGTCCCTCTGCACGTCCCCCATGTCACACCACATGTCCCTTTGTGTGTCCCCATGTCACACCGTATGTCCCTCCATGTTCCCCATGTCCCACCATGTGTACCTGTGTGTCCCCCATGTCACACTGCATGTCCTTCTGCATGTCCCCCATGTACCTCTGCATGTCACTCGTGTCACACCCTATATCCTCATGTCCCTCTGTGTGTCCCCTATGTCCCTCCATGTGTCCCTCGGTGTCCCCCTTGTCGTACCACGTGTCCCTCCATGTTCCCCATGTCCCTCTGCATGTCCCCCATGTCCCACTGTGTATCCCTCTGTGTCCCCACTGTCATACCATGCATCTCCCGTGTCCCACCCTATGTATCCCATGTCCCTCTGTGTGTCCCTCCGCATGTCCCACGTCACACCGCTGTCCCTCTGTGTGTCCCCCATGTCCCTCTGCGTGACCCTGTGTTCCCCATGTACCTCTGTGTCCCCATGTCACACCACGTATCCCCCCATGTGTCCCCCATGTCCCACCGTGCATCCCTCTGTGTCACCCATGTCACACCCTATGGCCCCAATGTCCCTCTGTATGTCCCTCCACATGTCCCACGTCACACCGCTGTCCCTCTGCGTGTCCCCCATGTCGCTCTGCGTGTCCCTACGTGTGTTCCCCATGTACCCCTGTGTCCCCATGTCACACCGCGTATCACTCCACGTGTCCCCATGTCCCTCCACATCTCCCATGTCATGCTGCGTATCCCTCCACGCGTCCCCCATGTCCCTCCGCATGTCCCACTGTGCGTCCCTCCGTGTCCCCCATGTCATACCATGTGTCCCCCATGTCACACCCTATGTCCTCCGTGTCCCTCCACATGTCCTTCCGCCTGTCCCACGTCACACCACGTGTCCCTCCATGTGTCCCCCATGTCCCTCCGCATGTCCCCAGCATCCCCACGCGCCATCCCCCCTCTCACTCTCCCCTCTCTCCGCAGCCCCCGGCCCCGCCACCCCTCTGCAACCACCCCCGGTGCTGCCACCACCGCCGCCACCGCCCCCCTCCCCTGCCACCGCCTACCACCAGCGCGATGTCCCCACTTACCCGGAGGGCCACCGCT